ATTATGATAAAATGTACATAATATAAAAGTTACCATTTTTATGTATACAGTTCACTGGTATTAAATGCATTCATAGCATGTAACTATTAGCATCATTCATCTCCATAACACTTTTCATGTTTTAAAACAGAATCTCTATGTCTATTAAACAATTAACTCCCAGTCCTACCTCCCCTAGTCCCTGGCAACCACCTCTCCATTTTCTGTCTCCATGACTTTGTTACTCTAAGTATCTAATACATGTGAAATCCTACAGTACTTTTTGTGTGTGTGTGTGTTGGCATATTTCACTTAGCCTTATGTCCTCAACTTTCACCCATATGTGTCAGAATTCCCTTCCTTTGCAAGGTTGAATAACATTCCACTGTAGGTGTATACCACATTTTGTTTATCCACTCACCTATGTTTGAATACTTGGGATGCTTCCACACTTTAGCTATTATAAATAATGTTGCCATCAACATGTATACAAATATCTCTTTGAAACCCCACTCTCAAATTTGTGGAGTATATACTGAGAAGTAGACATGGCCTATTATATAATAATTATGTTTTCAATATTTTGAGAAACTTTTCTACTGTTTTCTATAGTCCCCTAACATTTTGCATTCCCCAAAAAGTGCACAAGGGTTCCACTTTCTCCATATCCTTACCAATACTTGTTATTTTCTGTTTTGTTTTGTTTTTTGATGGTAGCTATCCTAATGGGTGTGAAGTGGTGAGTGAATATGCTTTTGAACATTTTCTCTTTATAATATTCTTTGTTTTCCTTCGTATTATATAAACCACTCCAAGCTGGATCTTTTGTCCCCTCCTTTCACTTGTCCTCAGCATGCGTGTTGCCAGGGTGATATTATCTGCATCATCAGCGATGATGAAAATATTCTGTAATTTCTGTTGTCCAGTGTAGTAGCCACTAGCCATACATTATCACTAAGCATATGAATTGTGGCTAATGAGACTGAGAAAATAAACATTTAATTGTATGTTTTTAATTTAATCGAAATCTATATGTGACTACTGGTTACTATATCAGATAATGCATTTCTAGATCTGACTTCTCTCTGAGTGCCAGCCTCCAGTATCTAACTAACTCCTTGACATGTCTACCTGGATGCCCTATATCATCAAAAAATCCACATAAGCAATGTCAAAGTCATAACCACTTTATCCAAACCAGACCCTAATGTGCTTAATTAAATAATATCAACTCTGCTCAAGATAGAACTATTGAAATTATTTTTTACTCTTCAGTCTGCTTTATGTCTCATACCCATTAAATCACATATTCTGTCATTCAATTTTTAAAATTATCTCTCATATCTGTTTTCCAAAATATGCATCGTGTCACAGACTACCACCAACAGTATGCTAGATCTTTAAAGAAGTGTCCAAGAAAACGCATTGACATCGAAATAAATTGAAATTACTTGAATTTTTCTAATGTTACCTTTCTGGCAAATTCTTCACATCTCCTAGTTAGAGGCAGAAGCTCCATCGGAGGGAAGCTTCTTCCCTCCCACACTTTGTCTGTATTACTACCGCATTTTAAGTATGTTATAGTGAAATGATTTGCTCACCTGTTTACGCGCTTGGAGCTACTCCTGTGTATTAATTGTTTTTGTATTTCAAGTGTTTTGCTTTATCCTTGGCTTATGGCAGGCTATCAGAATGCTTAGATAACTAATAACAATTTATGATCTAAGTGCTGGAGATTTAAAAACATAGCTAAAAACTTCCTAGGTGTAGAAGGAGAAATAAGCCTATTTCCAAAGGTAAATCCATGCTGATTTTTAGTCACTTATTAAAGGATTAAGCATCTAAGATTTATATTGGTATTTTACTCATGTTTAACCTTTAGAGGAATTAGTTAGGCTTTTATGATAATTAAAAAACAAATGCTATTTTTAAGGTAATTATAGAGGATAAGTAAACACCTTCTGCATGACTGCTGCAGCATAGCCCTCCGGCAACCTCACCCAGCACCATCTGACTGTCAGTGAGGCCCTGATAAATTAGAGCTTTGGAATCAAGTCTGAGTCTCCTTCATTACTTTCTTTGGTTCCATGCTTTATATCAAAAAGACAAATGCCAAGATAAATTTAAACTTTGTAAAAATATTTCTTAAAAGAACTATGGGACATTGGAAAACTACTTTCAAGGACAAGGACTCACAGCTCACATTCCATGTATGAGTATGATTAATTTTTTAATTCAGAATATTTGTTTTTAATACTTAGAAATTATCATTTAATTTGGCATAAATAATATTTGTGATCTATAACAAAAGGTCTACAATATAGGTTACATGGAAAAGATAATGGGTTGCTTTGCATGAATATTTATTTATAGTACATGTATATATATAGTATTTATTTGATTAGATAACATAAAATATGTAATGGTGCTATGGTGTTATGTATCCAATTCTAACATCTATTGAAAGAATAAAAAACTATTTTCAATACTTCTGATTTATTGAAATGTTTAGTATTGGTGTACTTCTGATTTATTGAAAATGGTTTCATATTGGTATAATACCAACAATAATTGTGCTTTATTGTTTTACAAAGTGTTTGCCATATTTCATATCTTTTTAAAATAATGAACAGTGGCAGAATTTATACTTAGGTGGGACTCGTTATTCAAAGTCCAGTGTTATTTCCATAAACCTGAATACTAGGTGGCACAGGAGTGCACTAAGCTCCTGATACACCATGGTAATACCATCATTTTCCTTATTGAAAGAAATATTCTAAAGACCTAAACTCCTCACAAATTAAATTTTATGCTCCATTTGTACACATTAAATTATCAGTGTGTTCTCAGCATTTAATTAATTAGCTTGGTTATATGAGTTCAGGTCTAAATTATGCTGTTATTCCTTTCTTGTCTTTAAAATAAAAACAAAATTTCAAGAACGCAGGTAAGGAGTTATTTTGAAGATTTTAGAACTAGCATTTTTTGGAAGTTTTAGATTTTTCTCTATTTTCTTATTTTGTTAAATTTATTGGGGTGGCATTGGTTAATAAGATTATATAGGTTTCAAATACATTTTTCCATGATATATTATCTTTATAGAAGTAGCTTTTTAAATGTGTTAATAATTATTCTCAAGCATACATATTATATTTCTAGAAAAAAATCTATATATCATCTTTTCAACCTCACAGAATCCTAGTAAGGAATGCTCTTATAACTATACTCCTTTTCTGATGTAGAAAACAAGATAAATTTCTACAAATAATATAGCAGGTTGGTAGTCAAGATAGAACTGAATTGCGTGGTTCGTGATATATGCTATGTTTAATCACTCTATGTTTACACTTTTATTTTGTTCTTGATCAAAGAGAATTTTACTTTAAATGAAGTATCTATTAAATATTTTTTATGGTTTTATGCATCCTGGTTAAATAAGATTAAACTTCTGAAGCAGTGTTTTCCCTTGGCCTTTGCAACAGGAGTGGTTTCCAAACGTAAACACGAGGCTGAGGAACCCACTTTTCTGAAGAATCCACTTCAGAAAATTACAAGTGCTCCTTACAAAAAGCCCCTGGACTCTTGCTTCTGCACCTACACAGGTTTTATTTTTTTATAGACATAGAGCTATTCCAACATCCATCTGATGGATTTATATACTACACATACATTTTGTGTATACACACATATATATATGTGATAAGATACCATTTGTATTTAATTTATATATGTGTGTGTGTATGGAGAGAGACACACACATCTAAATATACACAGCTATGTACCCATTTTATCTGTCTGTCTACCTATTCACCTATTTACCTGTCTTTCCATCTAATTATCATTTTTCCATGTATCAGGAAGGCAACTAAAAATTTGTCTACTAAAATGTCAATATTTTGGAACTACTTCTACCTTGCTATAATTCAGATAATAATGGACAATTAAGAAATGGGGATGTTAAAAACTAAATCAAGGAACTGGAGTAGATTGAAAAGTAAAATGTTGTAAATGTAATTAAAATGCAGATATTTAGAGCTTAGGAGAGTTTCAAGTAAAATGTGATCCAAACATCTCTTATTACCAAAGTTAAGAAAAAATCAACTTCCACAGCCTCTAATAGTAGAGGTAAGCCTAGGACTCTAGCCTTTGTGTTTTGAGCTCACTCTGTTGCCACTCTTTGAGTTCAGTTCACTATACCCATTATATCACATTTCTTCTTTCTAAAGAAAAAATAGCCTTTTAAAATTTCGCTAAAGCATGTAAGAATGAGTTGTCAAATTTCAGTTAAATGTATATAAATATGCACTATTTTAAATGTTCTGAAATGCCAATATTCTCTATAGATTTTACCCCCAAAGTCAAGTTATGACAGTTTAAATGAATAGGCAGCAAATAAATGGTGAAAGACATAGTTTATAAATGTAAAAATTCATATGTTGTCAGGTATTAAATTTATTTGATTCATACCATAGAATTTAATTTTATCCATATTATAAACTTCCTCCATACTATAAACTATTCTATAGTAAAAATTAGTATGACTACTTTAGAGTAATTAAATTTATTATAAACACAGTCAACTTTATTATTAAAGGAAAGAGCCTTTTTTAACTGCAAATTAAAGTACCTCAAACAACCAACTACTTTAAATACTGAAACAGAATTTTGAAGATATAGAAACTTAAAGACACACTTTGCATTTGTCTTAATAAAAAATTCAGGAGTATACTTGAGAATATACCACACATCTACTTTTTTCAGATTAAGAAAAAAGCTAATTATTGTGTTAAAGATTTAATTTAAAAACAAATCTTTACTTATTGGTCTAATTGATCTTGATTGAGCTGCTTATCGTCTTTACTCTTTAATAAAATAGAAGATACTTACTATCCTTTCCAGTACATAGTACCAACAAGAAATATATAGCTTTCTCTCTATTAGTCATTTTCTTTTTCTCCATCTACCAACAAAAAGAGAATAAAACTTCCCAACCTGCTCATGAATATATATTCCTTGCCTACCTTGGTGATGGTTTCATGAAGTTTAAAAAAAGGATCCATTTCTTCCATTTTCTTTGCATCTTTAGGAAAAAGGGCCTCGGAGAGAAAACTTGGATCCTGTGGAAAGCAGAATAAAACATTTAAAACTCTTCATTGATTTTGTTTTTCAAGTGCTTATTGGATTTTCTTTAAAGATTCAGAAGGTCTCTAAATTGGTTTAAGGTTTCTGTTGATTGTTGGACTTCATCCTATTAATTGAAACAACCAATCACAGAACATTTTTAAATTAAAATGAGTAAAAATCTCTAACTTTTGACATCATTTATCTCCATAAAAGATGTTTTTTATTTACTCAGAAGAGATAATTCTGTGCAGTTCTTTTCCTTTTCTAAAATGCAGACTTATATGTAGCATAAGATACCTTGACTATAAAACCCCCATTTGAAACCCCTTTTCTATTTAATATATTAAATTCTGTTTTAAGTCTGGTAGAATGCAATATTTTTAATTGACATGATTACCAACAAAAATTTTCTCGGCAAAAGTCTACCTGTAGTTAAACATTGCAAAACTCACTTTAAAAGAACAATAACATATACTTTGGGTAGAACAGTCTCATGGCTTCAGTATCGATAGCTTAAACCATGTATCGGTATCGATATCGGTAAAGTGGTAACCATGTATCGGTATCGGTATCGATAAAGTGGTAACATGCTATATCAGAACGTTAGTGTTAGAAGGTTGCAGTGAATCCCAGAAACAGTAATTAGTCATTTAGTACTTGCAGGGGTAGAAAAATATCAGGATGAAAGGAGAAGCGGGATAATGATAACATTACTACCTGCCATGGTATGAATATTTATGTCCCTCACAAGTCCATATATTGCAATCCTAACTTCCAAAGTAATAGTATTAGAAAATAGATGCTTTGGGGAGGTCATTAGGACATGAGGATTTCATCGTCATTATTGGGATCAGTGCCCTTCTGAAAGAGGCCTCAGAGTTTCCTAGCTATTTCCTTCTGGTAAAGATACAACAAGAAATCTGCAGCCTGGAATGGGGCCCTCACCTGACCATGCTGGCACCATGGTCTTAAACCTCCAGTCTCTAGAACTGCGAGAACTCCATTTATGGTGTTTGTAAGCCACTCAGTCTGTAATGATTTGTTATAGCAAGCTAAATAGATTAAGACACTATCTAAAATAATGCTCTTATAGTTACCAACATTATTAGCATTCCATGAAATGATTATTATTTACCACATAAATATAGCTTTTACTTGAAAACCTGAAATAACTAGGACTTCTTTATAAAATAGAAAAAATGATAGGTAGATAGATAGATAGATAGATAGATAGATAGATAGATAGATAGATGGATGACCTTTCTGAGGGCTGACATGGAGAAGAAACATTCATCCAGTCTGCACCAATAATGACCAGAATAATGTACCAAATTATGCTGAATGCTGTTATAACTATTTATTAGAACAATCCACCACCAGAAGAGACTACTTTGGGTCACACCAATGGTGGAAAAGAACATTAGGATGATGTAGTTGATAAGCTCTGAAGTTATACAGGAAAACTGAAACCAAAGGAACTGGAATTCCCTATACAGAAAACAATTCTGTGATCAGGCATACTTTTCACCCCTTATTTTGAGCAATAGTGAAATCAAAGAAAAGTAATATAGCTGCTTGCTCCAGCATGTATGTACCTTGGATGATAAAACCATAAATCAACCAAAAGTCTTACCTGTCAAAAAACAGCTTACTTATCAAAACTTGTTTTATATGTTCTCTCTTAATTTTGCCTGGCAATCAAAACTAATTTTTCAGCTAGCTCCTGTTGCAACTAGTACTTCACTTTGTAAGACTTACCATAAAAACTAGGCACAAAGTGTGGGTCAGATTCCCTGCCATAACCCTCAAAGGGAACTAATCCTGATAGTTTTGAAGAATTAAAACAATACATTTGTTTGAAGAGTAACGCAATCTGTGATTTTTTATGGCAACCTTAGCAAACTAAAGAACTCAGTAGAGGTGGTACTTTTTCTTAGTGCCACAGGTGTAATAAATTTAATTTTGTCTAGCAACAGGGATTTGTCAAGTATTTTTGTCAATCAACATAAAAGTAGGTTGAATTTTTGGTTTTCCCACTTCATAACTGTTGTCTTAATCTCCAAAGCATTAGCTACTGAATTTAAGGAATCCAAATAATTATGTATACTTCACAAAGATGATAACTGCCTGATGCTTGCCACAAAGGAGATGCTATGTTAATAGCATTAGTGATGTTTCTAAAAAAACAATAAATATCATAAGGATGACAATGAGGATAGGAGTGATAGGGTGGTGATTAGGGTAGATAGGAGGCTGAACTAAAGGAAATCCAAAATTTTTATCTATAATCCTATAAAAAAGTGTACAGTTTGCATTTAGATATGTTTATTTCACCAAATAGAGGTATCTTTGAACTGAGCTTAGGGGATGTATGAATGGATAATTTGTGGTATTCCTTTCTATTTAATAATTAAGGTTGAAGTTTTTTAAAAGTTGGCTTCATAATTAGTTTTAAACAAACTTCTTAAAATGATATCATCTTATTAGTTTACTCAACAAAACAAAACTCCCCATGTAGTGCAAAGGTAAAATATCAGCCAGCCTCAAATTAAATAATCCCATTAAAATATAAATTAGAAGTTACAATTAATGAGGTTTTTATTGAACTCTCAATTATTGAGCAGCAGAACAATAGTAAATTACCCACATGTGCCTTATTCTGCAATATGATCCCCGTCTTTCTCTTATTCCTTCAGTTATCTCCTGCCATAATGTTCTTTGGTATGTGGTTTTTAGTGCCTTGCTTTACTTAGCCATTTAAAAAATACTCATTTTACGCTTACCACATGCAAGGTGATGCATTAAATGCAACATTGTTCCTAATCGTATGGAGTTTAATCTAATAGTATTTGGGCACATAATAGTCCAAACATTACTGTCTTATATGCACTTAAATATAACAATAATTGTCTATAAATAGGTATATATGTTTGACTTTAAAATATTTAAAAGATTAACAATAAGGATGTATGCTTTTAAAAATGTTTCTGCTGCTGTTATATTAACTGTGAGTGATAGTTGCTTAATAATATCTCCCATCTGTAGATAAAGTCAGGGAAGTAGAAGTGTTTTTGTTTAGAACGATTCATGGATAGACTGAAACCAAGCAGTTTTGAATAATTTAATATATTGAAAACTTACTACTGTATGCCTGCCAGTTGGAGATAACAGTAAGAACATTATAAAAAAAAGAAGTGTTGATAAGAAAGGCTTTTCAGGATCTAGTGTATTAACTTGGCTCTCTAGTCCCTAATTTATATGCCTTTTCTATAACCTTTAACAATATTTAGCACCCCTTTCTTCTTCCAACCCCTTTACCTAAAGTCTATTATTTGACTCAACTGGTTCCCCATTTGTGCATTATTTTCCACCTGTAAATGAATTTCGTTTCCCTTTTAAAGCTTATTACTGTTTTGAGGTAGTCTGCCCTTGGACCTCACAGGCTCACTGTGGGTGTTCATTCACTTCTCCGCTTTCACTGTCAGCTTCAGGCTTGATTGTTCCCAAATCTTTATTTCTAGGCCAATCTGTCTTTTTAATTTATTATTTCTGTTTGTCTACAGATCCTCCAAGGATATAAAACTTACACTCCATGTCTTAATCATGGGTTCCCCCACTGACACATTCGTTTAACTTGGATGACAGCATAATACCTATATTTTGCCCAAATGTGGGACTTTATGCTATTCTTGACTCCAATTTCTCCCACCCTGTGTGCCAAAGAACTGTACTAACCAATTCCCATGTAGTCCATACATTTACACAATATTCTACAACTTTTTATCCATTGCATTGCCCACTCATTACTTTTACCCAAACTATGTTCCCTATTGTCTATAGACAAGTCCTAACTCCTGAGTATGGCATTTTCTTAAACAAATCCCAACCCATATTGCGTCTTTCACCTGTAAATAGTTCTTTAATTCCCATAAATTAATTAAAACAATTCCCATATACTGTTTACTTACGACACAGCAGGCAACTCGCCAGCCTTGAATGCACCCTTACTTTTAAACTCTGTCCCTTTATTTTCGCCATTTCTTCTGTGTGGATTGTTTTCCCACCTGTTTACCAGGCTTATTTCTATAATTGCTTTCCTTGATTCTCACCAAGTTATTAGAGTTCAGTGTTCTTGTTACAGAGTTTCTTTATCACTTTTAGTTATTTTTAGTCATCATTTATTACATTTTTGTGATATTTTTGTTTTTCTTACTATACTATGAGCTTTTTAAGACTTGGTATCTTTTTCTTATTAAAAGAGTCTAACATGCCCTGGATGGTGTGGCTCAGTGGATTGAGCACCAACCTGTGAACCAAAGGGTCACTGGTTCGATTCCTAGTCAGGGCACATGCTTAGGTTGTGGGCCAGATCTCTCGGACGGGGGAGACACATGAGAGACAAACACACATTGATGTTTCTCTCCCTCTTTCTCCTTTCCTTCTCCTCTCTCTAAAGATAAATACATAAATAATCTTTAAAAAACCCTCAGTGGTACTGAACTTTAAAAAAATAAAACAGTCTAATATCATCAGGCAACCCTAAGTTATTAATCTCTCAGTATAGTATTATCACCCATAAAGTTGAAATGTGAGGGCAGGTGTCATTTTCACTTCAGAGACTTCATGTCAGGATCAAGCAAAAAACAAAACAAAACATAGAACAGTGCTCAGTAAGGAGGAAAGGACCACAACAATACCGGATGGTGTCTGATTTTTATCGCACTTGTCAGGAATTGCTTTTCTATATAACCAAGAATTAGAGTTTTAAAATTTAAACTACTAGAAATATGTGTTTGTATGTTGAACTCTATATGACATTTCTCTTTTAAAATCTGCAACTGTGCAAAGTTTAAAAACCATTGCTGCAGGTGACAGGAAGTCTTTGGGGGGGTTGAATGGAGCCAGTGGTACGTTCAATTGTGTACTGAGGAGAGCGCACACTGACATGTTGGTGAAGGTGAACTTGGAAAAAGACATGATGGAAAACAGGGAA